ACCCCCACAAGCCCCCCCGGTTCTACGTGCGGAAGACCCAGGCTGGGCACGGAACCAGAACACGCCTCCCCAGACATGCAGCCGGCTCCCTCGGGCCCCGATCCTATTCCTGCTTCTGCAGAATTGAGTCCTTTTGAATTCCGGGGGAGGGGCCTGCTGCTTCAACTTGGGACGCCAGTGCAATCCCAAAAGCTTCCACCTTGTCGCAAGCCTGAGTCTGGTTTGGATTGGCCTTCGGAGGCACCCCAAAGCCGCCTCGCCTTTCCTGTGCCAGAGAGAAAACCACCCAGCCCAGGGCCCAGGGAGGGGCCGCCAGGAGGCGGAGAGGCACGGCCCCCCACCCGGCACGGGCGCCCCTCGAGGCCGGTGCCGGAGGCATCCTTTACGGGAAGCCGGGGTCCTGGGGGAAGCCGGACAGCTATAGGAAAAGAAGGTGCTTGCCTGCCGGATGAGGAGGAGGGCTGGTGGCGGCTGTGATCGACCGCAGCGCTCCCCACCCGGGAGTGGGGCCCCTGCGTGGCAAGAGGTACCGAGGGTCTGCTGGGTCGCCCCCGGAGCAACCCCTGGATGGCAGGGGATGGGAGGTCAGCAGGGCTGCCACCAGCAGCCATAAAACCAGCCGGCCTCGTCTGAGTTTGCCTTTTTCTATTTGCTTTTCACAGACAGATTAACCAGGAGAAGCCATGAATCCTGGAAAGCGGGGCTGGTGGGATCGAGTGGGGTGGGGTGACGCTCGAGTCTGCAAACAGGAAAAGGCCCTCCTTCCCTGCCAGCCCAGCCTGTGCCCGTTCTGTGCCCCGCGCGCGTGTCCTGCAGCCGGGACTCTGAGCTCTTGGGGTGACTTCCAGGCGACCCACAGTTTCAGGGTCACACCTGCAAGGAAGGCTGTTGGGTAGCCTTGCAGCGGCCGAAGGCATAATGGGTGGGGGAAGTGCGAAGGAGTGGAGGAAAGAGAACAGCAGGAGGAGGAGGAGGAGGAGGAGGAGGAGGAGGAGGCTGCCTGGACTCTTATCTAGCAGCTCCTTTGCGCTGATAAATAGACCCAAAGGAACACTTTTGGGAGTCCCAGGATTCGAACCAGGGACCTCAAGGACAGAACCTGGGAGTTACCCTACAGGCAGTTAGGGGGAGCATACGTGCACACAAATGGAGGCGTACTTAGGAGTCCACATCGTTGCACATGTTTGCTAGTTTGGGGGGGGGGCTGTTCAAGCCAGGCCAGCAAAGCTCTCTGCCCCCCCCGCCCCCAATCCTGGCACAGGGCCATTGCCGGCCCACTCTTGGGGCCGAGGGGCTGTCGAGGCTCCCAAAAACCAGTGGCCGTTGCGCCTCTTTGGCCCCCCTGAGCTGACCCTGATTTCTGTGGGGCTTGGCAAAGAAGATGGCTTGGCTGTTTTCTGCTTTTTTGCTCATGGGGGCCGGCACAGCTGGCGACGGTTCGGGTGCCGTGAGGAGACGGGATCGCTTGTGTCTTGTCTATTTGTTCAAAACGTTTTTGCTCCTGCCTTGCTACTTTAAAAGGACCCGAGGCAGCTTGCATCAGTAAAAGGCAATAGTTAAAGCTAAAAACAGTTAAGTATACAAATATTTAAAAGGAGCAAACAAATACGGCTCTGAGAAATGATAAACAAAAGCAATACTAAAAACACATTCAAAGTGGTAAGGCGTAGCAATCCATTTAAAAACCACAGTCAGGCAGCCAGCCACGGAGCGAGAGCTTTGCTGAAGAGAAAGGTCTTGGCCTGTTTGTGGAAGGACAGCCACGACGGGGCCAGCCTGGCCTCCAGTGGCAGGGAGTTCCAAAGTCTGGGAGCAGTAACAGAGCAGGTGATCTGGACACCCGGGCAGAGTCTAATAATGGGAATGATGTCTTCCACACCCTATCGTGAATAAGAGTGGCCTTTTCTCCTTGGGTGGACGGGAACGGGTGGGAAAAGCCAGACCGCTGAGCCAGGAGTGATCTGGCAAAATGGTCCCATTATCTGAGATGGTCAAAACACACGAGAAGAGTTCAGAAGGAAGGAAGGAAGGCCGGGCCCTTGAAATCGCGGCAGCCAGGACGGCTGGCGGCGGTCTTGCTCCTGCTCCTTTGAGGGCTCGTCTGCAACCCAGACTCTGCCTGGGGTCCTCCCGTGGTTGACATTGTGATCTCGTGTGACAGGGAGGATTGAAGCCTCGCTTTGAGCAACGTGAGAGAGTCGAGAGACATCCCACCTGTGCGGAAGCTAGGAAAGACGCGTGGCTTTTTAGAAAAGGGTTTTTAGAAAAGCCAGATGTCAGCATGATATGCCTACTGATCTTCCGTTCAAATTAGAACTGAAGCGAGGAGCAGTTTTTGCCATTTAGCACCAGTGGTCATTCAATAACACCATTGATTAAAAATGTCCTTTCTGCACATCCGATGGACCGGGTGCTTTCAGCACAGAGGTTCCCAACTGTGCTTATCCTCCCTTTCGTCCTTCTGAAAACACGTGGCAGGCTGGAAGGATGATGGAGGACACAAGGCCCCTAGAAGGCAGTCAATCCCGGATATGGTGTTTAATGTAGGCTGTCCTCTGTGGTCCCATCAAGCAAAAGCAAAAGGCAATTCAGAGAGGTTTGTCTCCCGGTTGCCCTTCAGGGCAGCAGCCACCGCTTCCACGCTTCAAAGCTCCAGCGGAGCGAGTCTCATGATAGTCTGGAGCCTGCGAACCTCTGCAGAGGAAACCCTCCTGACCCCAGCGCCCTTGCCTCTGGTCTGGAACGGGAAGGCTCCTGTTTATGCTGTGCCTAAGCGGGAGGCAACGGTTGACGCAGATCATCACGCAGAAGACTTTCGGACACGTCTGTAGAGTTCTGACTTTCCCTGTTTCTCAGTTTACTCTCGGGGAAATATAAACTGTGAGGCAGAGTAGCGCTTGGGGTGTGGATGTGCTTGTGTGTGTGGCCTTGTGCTGCTCTAAACCAGGAATACATCTGTGAGAACCAGCGGCTTGTGGTGGGTTTTCATCCGCAGAGTCAAGAAGGCTACAGATGTCCACCCTCCATCACAAGGCCTGGTGGCAGCAGGCACACGGCACGCTGGGTGTTATTGCTCTTCCTTGAAGCTCAGGAACACGCGTGAGGCTTGTTGTTGAACGAGGCGGGCCTTCCATCGTTCCACACAGAGCATTTGCTGTCTGGTGGACAGGCAAGAAAGAAAGACGGAGTCTTCACACCCTGGCTTCCTCCCGGGAGGTGGACATCCGTGATGGATCCTTTCTGGCCATTTGTGGGAGCGGGGTCTTGTTTAGCAATCTTCAGCCCCCCCCCCATGGCCGTTCCAGGGTGACGTCTCTTGGGATAACAGTGTCCCGCTCACGGCCCCCTATGGTCATGGCAAGCAGCAGCCAGGAAGCTACAATTGTCTAGCAGGCCACGGCGGAGGGAGGTGAAATCAGAGGAAAGCGGAGGGAGAAGAGCGCAACCCGGCTGGAGCAACATGCGCGCCTCTCGGGCTGCTCACAGGAGACGGACTCGGGGTTTAACCTGTCTGCCAGCTGGCCAGTGAAACGGAAGTGGGTGAGGCAGTGGAAGCGGAAACAGCAGCATCGGCTTTCCTAAGCAAGCTGGATGACCTTGAGAGGAGAAATGGCTGGAATGATTGATCTTTCAGGAGCCTTTTGGGGTCCATGTGGACAAAAAGCCCTTCTTGCCCAGCTGGCTCATGGCGTCCCTCCCAGAGACACCCAACACATTGGAGGCTCTTGCGTGGGAGGCAAGCAGACCAAGAAGAACCTCAGCGGAGAGACTAAGACGGGCCGGAGGCAGAGACGTAGAAGGGGGTTGGGGGGGGAGCCGGATTTTGATACCGTTGAGTGTCCCCGATGAAACCAACCCTCTGTTCCCTTCACTTTCCCTGCAGGCAAATGGTGGGTTCTGGGTGGCCTCTCATCTTAAAAGTTGGTGCCATAAAAAATGGGAAACGGTCACCTGTGGGCAGGTCTGGCAGCCACGAAGCGGTGTGGAAGCAGGGCTGGTGAGGGGTGTGTGTGTGTGTGTGTGTGTGTGTGTGTGTGTGTCCCCCCTTAAGTAGCAATGGGGAGAAAAATCAAACTCTGGAGACAGGGTGTGCTGGACCCAGAGACTCGTCAGCTGGAGAGGTGGTGGTTATACTAAGTTTGTTTATTTTGGGGTGGGGTGTATTTTGAATCTGCCCAAGGCAGCCGCCACCTTCCTTCAGGGCCAGAAACCCTGCCTGTTGCTAGCCCCGGCGGATGCTCCCCTATGGCGACGGAGCAGTGGGGAGGCCTTGCAGCTGGCTCTCTTTTGGTCCTGGTTGGTCCTGGGCTTTCTGAAGAGTGACCAGAGGGATCAGCTTCCATGTGGAGCCAGGAAGCAGGAAGGGGGACCGGGGGAAAGGTGACCCCAGAGCGCTGGGCTGGTGTCTCATAAGGTCCGTCCGTTCTTGCTGCTGAGCTCCTTGGTTAAAGGGCGGCCATCAGACCTCTTCCAGCCATTGTGGGGGGAGCAAAGCCTTCAGCATGAACGGGAAGATCATTTGTCGTTAAGATTTGGGAGAGGATGAAAGTCTGGCACGCAGCCTATTTATTTGTTTAAACTGATTAGCAGCTCAGGTGTGAAACATCCAACGTGGTGTGCAACAATATTCAAGATGTGATCAATGCAAAAGATAACTAGACGGTGCGACGTAGAAAACACACAATGTGCCCCTTTGTGTGTGCAGGAATCCCCTGCTCTGTGAGACAGATGGGGGAAGACCGATGTCTTTTGTTGTGCCCCTAAAACTAGAGAGGGTGTAACCCCATGCCAGCTCCATGGGAGAAGGACAGTCCACGGGCAGGATGGAGAGACCCGAGGGGCTGATGTCCAGACATCTTGGCCAGGATCCAACAGCATATTGGCATGGGCACAGAGGAACACTGTCCCCAGATGCGGAGGGGGGGGAACACCTTCCCCTTGCAGGGCCAACAGGAAGCCATCACCCTTCCCTCCCTGTATCCCCATCTCAGCCCTCTATGGCTCCAGAAATTCTCCTGCGGTTGTGTGTCTCCCAGCCCTCGGGAGCGGACAGTGAGGGGATGTATGTGGGGCTGCAAGGGGCAAACGGGGGGGGGGGGGCCTGCTTTGTTCTAAATCTGCCTTTGGGAAGGCAATTCATTATTCTGTTGGCTCATGGCCCCTTCTTCTGATACATCCTTCCCTCCCTGGTACACCTTCCACACGGGAGGGCTTGTTCGGGATAACAAGAGGAGCCGTGGCCCACAGGTTTGAAACCAGATTTCTCCATTGGACTTCATTCATTTTTCTCTCTCTCCTACCATCTGAACAGGTTCGGCCGCAGATCGGAAGGCAATTCATTATTCTGTTGGCTCATGGCCCCTTCTTCTGATACATCCTTCCCTCCCTGGTACACCTTCCACACGGGAGGGCTTGTTCGGGATAACAAGAGGAGCCGTGGCCCACAGGTTTGAAACCAGATTTCTCCATTGGACTTCATTCATTTTTCTCTCTCTCCTACCATCTGAACAGGTTCGGCCGCAGATCCGTGCACCCGATCCTGACCGGGGATAAAGAACAACATGCAAGTCAAGGCAGCCCAGGCCTTTCCATGGGTGGCTTCGGCAGCACCTGATGGCCTCTGTCCTGCAACTGGGAAGCCCAAGTGACAGGAGCAGCCAGCAGGAGCGAGGGAGAAGATTGGGCTGGGCAGCCCAGAGAGGCATCTCACGGATCCAGCCCCTGGAGTTGGCCTTCCTCAGCCGGCCTGGGCATCTGCCCACTCTCAAGAGCATGGAGGTGCCGCAGCCGAGGAGGAGATGATTGCCCGTTGGGAGGCTTAGCAACCCTGCCGGGACCCGACAAGGTGGTGCAGGCCCACCGGAAGACATCCTGTGCTGCCTGTGTCTTCCTGCCCAGCCCTGCCGCAAGCCACACAACAGGACCGGGGGGGGGCATGACCGTTCCGGCCGCCCTTTCTTAGAGACTCCCCCCAGCTCCCCTCTGGCCAGCCTCTGCTGTACCATGGGATGCAGGCAAAGCTCGGAGGAGAAAGAGGCAGCGCGGCGGTCCCGGAGAATCGACCGCCACCTGCGCTCGGAGAGCCAGCGCCAGCGGCGCGAGATCAAGCTGCTCCTCCTCGGCACCAGCAACTCCGGCAAGAGCACCATCGTCAAGCAGATGAAGATCATCCACAGCGGTGGCTTTAACCTGGAAGCCTGCAAAGAGTACAAGCCCCTGATCATCTACAATGCCATCGACTCCCTCACGCGCATCATCCGGGCTCTAGCCACCCTCAAGATCGAGTTCCACAACCCGGACCGAGCCTACGATGCTGTCCAGCTCTTTGCCCTGACGGGGCCGGCCGAGAGCAAAGGGGAGATCACGCCGGAGCTGCTGGGGGTCATGAAACGGCTGTGGGGGGACCCGGGGGTGCAGGAGTGCTTCTGTCGCTCCAACGAGTACCACCTGGAGGACAACGCCGCCTACTACCTGAACGACCTGGAGCGGATCGCCGCGCTGGACTACATCCCGACCGTGGAAGACATCTTGCGCTCCCGGGACATGACCACGGGGATCGTGGAAAACAAGTTTACGTTCAAAGAGCTGACTTTCAAAATGGTGGACGTAGGGGGCCAGAGGTCGGAGCGCAAAAAGTGGATCCATTGCTTTGAGGGGGTCACAGCAATAATTTTCTGCGTGGAGCTGAGTGGCTACGACTTGAAGCTGTACGAAGATAACCAAACAGTAAGTCCGGCCGGGATTTTTCTTTCCAGCATTAGGGTGTGGGAGCTTCAAGGAGGCACATGCTGGGGGAGGGGAGTCCGAGCAGGCTGGTCAGTTTCTCTCTAGGTGGTTCATCAGAAGGGATCCTGGAAACAGCAACAGTTTCTCATCAGGCCTATCCTTCGATCCTGCAGTTAATGGGAAACAGAGGCCATCCCTATAGGGCAGCATCCGTGCCCTATAGGTAGAACAACTGTGACTAATGGGGGTTGGGGGGAAGGGTGTGTGTGTGTGTGTCTTTCTTGGTGTCTCTGGTTGAAGCTTTGTTGCTGTTAGAGCTTCAAAGCGCGATAAAGGTTTGGATCGTAGGAACCTCCTTTATAAAGAGAGATTATTGACTTGAGGTACTTCCTGTTGCAGCCTCAGTTCCCATAAAGGCAGGGAACTCCATGAAGTATTATGAAATGATGCTCACTTTAAAAAAGGGTGTCCCTTCAGAACTTAAAAATTAAGGTGAGTGTAATTTTGTGGTGCTTAAAATGGTACCCACTTGCTGGAGTGGACAGATCTGTCCCGTGAGCGCCATTAAAATTTATTTTATTTTATTTATTTATTTGATTTATATCCTGCCTATCTGGACCACCAGACCACATAAAATGTTTTATGCTGTTTACTAACCAGCTTCTGTCTATTGCAAAAAATGTATTTTTGCCTCCTTTTTGAAGACCAGCTTTCAGTTAGCTTCATCTAACAGAGATAGTAGCTATGGAAATGGTTGCATATGCACAAGTGTGTGTGTGGGTATATGGGTGTGTGTACACAGACAGACGCTACTGCACTCGCCCTTCTTGGCTCATCCTTCACTGCCACTTTTGTTTCTGCATTTCTGTATGTTTGCTTAATGTACAAAATTACATAAGGGACATGAGCCCAACGTTGCTCTAGCAGGATGTTCTCTGAATGGAATTTCGGGTATCCAGTCACCAATTACGGTTATGAAAGATTCTTCCTGCAGAAAACTGCATTTGACCTTCTTGCTGTTCTTCTTTTTCTTTATCACCATCAATGGAGTCTCGCTCCATCCGGTCCTCTTCATCCGACTCCTGACTTTGCCCTAGGGCCTTCACCGTCTTCATTTGCTCCTCCCACTCTTCTTCTGTTAAAATTCCAGAGTCCTTTAAAAGATCCAAAGCCATTGGGACTGATGTAACCTTATGAAATTTTCCATTGTAATGCACCTTTAAAAACACTGGGTAACCCCAACTATATTTGACCCTCTTTTTTTGAAGGATAAAAGTAATAACCCACATTTGTCTTCTAAATACCATAGTTTCGTGAAAATAATCATTAAACACTTGAATTGGGTTCCCCTCAAATACCACATTTCCTGGATTCTCTCTTAGAATTTTCATCAGTTCCTCTTTTTTCCTAAGGCTAGAAAATCTAATCAGAATATGGCGAGGCTGTCCTCTGCGTCTTGAACTGACTCTGTGTATTTTATACAAATCATAAACAGTCCAGTGTATTTTTGGTGCCATCTTTTTCAGCCAGGCTAAGACTAGTTCAGCGAAGTCCTTCTCTTTGGAGCCCAAATCCGGAAATCCTTTCAGAAGATTTATTTTTCACTCCCTCAGTCTCTAATTCAGAATGCCAAATGCTTAAATTATTTCATAAATTGTTAGGTTCTCTCTTTCTTATTTTCTTACTCCCAGCAGCAACTTAAAAGCAAAATCCAGCTTTATCTCACAGATAAATATTTTCCCCGGCAACTAAGAGATACAAAATTTTGACTGGTCCTTTTACAAACATAGTCAGTCCATTAAGAAGCAGTTTAAAAAGTTTTTCTTGGCTAGCCATGGCTGGGAATCTCCCCTCCCGCAGGAATCCCCACTGGGGGGGGGGTAGCTCTTCCTCCTCACACACCAGCTGCCACTCCTTGTTTTTGTTTTTAAGAAAAGCAAACTCCTTTTACTGTATAGTCCACTCCTGTTGCCTCAAAGATATTGTAAATATTTTAAAGTCACTTACAGATCCATGAGCCCTTTTTTGCTGCCTCATGTAGATTTCAGAGTGAGAGCCCCGGGAATTTCAAGCCACGGCCATCAAAGTCCAGGACACGCCCCGTCTTATCCTGCCAATCCCACAGTCAACATCATCCTGTTGCATCTCCATGTTAGGCAGAGTAAAGAGCCCAGGAGCCTTCCGTCTCTTCTTCTCCTTCCTCTCCCTTCCTTGGATCCGAAAACCTGCTTCAGGAAGCTCTTTTTGAAAGATCTTATTGGTGAATTCCTTGGGGAACCGAAAAAGAGCTCTGTGTTCCTGGCAAGATGCGATGATAATTCAGCCTTGTGTCCATAGAAACAGGGTTGGTAGTGGGGGAATTTCAAGCCTATGGATTCTGAAACAAAGCCCCTTTATATAATGTGGGAAAGGCCCCTCCCCCCCCCCCCCCCGTAAGATGCAATTAAAGAGTAATATGAGAGACTGTTTATAACTGACATGCAATTATGGAGAATGACGAGCCGTGAGACCTTCTCTCTCTCTCTCTCTCTCTCTCTCTCTCTCTCTCTCTCTCTCTCTCTGTCTCTCTCTGTGTGTGTGTGTGTGTGTGTGTGTGTGTGTGTGTGTGTGGGTGTGTGTGAGAGAGAGAGAGAGAGAGAGAGAGATGTTTCATTCAGAGAGCTCCTTCCACTCTAGCCAAGGGAGGAAGAGAATGGAGTGTCATTTTAAAATGCTCCGACCATGAACAAGGCAGTATCCAAAAAGGAAAGAGGGCCCAGCAGAGCGCTCGGGCACATAGCACGTCTACAGTGCTCAGAACGCCAACCTTGATGTCATTCTGGAACGGCAGCAGCAGCACAGAAGTCAACACAACTTCAGTCGTTCAGGGTTGAAATGAGGCAGCAGAAGCTCAGCCTCTGTATCCAGACGATGCAGAGCGTGAGCAAAATGGACAGGGGTTGCCCAACGGCTCTTGAGAAACAGGGGCAGCCTGGAGGAAAGGCAGGAGGGAGCACCGTCTTAGGATGCCGACTCCTGAGCTACAAGGCTTTGCCTTTTCTTTCAGCTTTCTGTTGCCGACCTTTGAACAACATTTAATTCTTCTCTGTTGTTGTTGTTGTTTAAAGAAAGCATATTCTGTAAGTTTAATCAATGATGGACTTGCAGTCCTCTGCACAATTGGTGACACTGACTTTAAGAAACATGAGCCCGCAAGCATTTTTATGCCAAAAAGAAGAGAACTCCCAGGCGGTGACCTTAGCTTGACCTTTGCAAGGGACAAAACCTGCCGGGCTCTGTCTCGTCTGCAGTCCAGATTCTGGTCCAGGGCACCCTTTTAGGAGAAGGGACCCGCCAGTCTCCTCCTGCGGGCGATCAGGTCTCCTCTGCCCATCCGTCTGCCTCTCCTGCAAGGAGATGATGGCCTGACCAAGAGGTGCAGCTTCTCCCCGCTGATCTTGCAAACCACGATTGTTCACTTTGCAGGAGACAGATTGAAGGCCCTTGGAACAACACATGGTTGCTCGTCTCCCCTCCTTCTGACGGCACCAGTGGAGTGAGCAGCTGCTGGGCCACTTTGCACAGCTGGCACCTCAGTGTTTGTTCCCAGTTTTGACAGATGGGAAGTAGTGTTCACTACGATTCAGGTCTCGTGGACAGGATCGGCTGTGCTTTCATTCACACACTCTGTTGCTCTGGCCACTGTTTGCAGTCCTGAGTACAGTGTGTAGTGATCGCTCTCTCTCTCTCTCTCTCTGCTGTGCGGAGGCAGCGTATGGCAGGCTCACATCTGCTTCATTGGGCTCAGGCAATCCAGCCTCACAGAGGAGCCACTACAAACCCTCAAACTTCCCGCGGGCCCCCAACCCTTGCAGCCCCCCTCCCTCTGCTCTTTCTATGAACAGGAATCTCAAGCAGGAAGCTTTGGGGCACCTCCGGTTCTTCAACAGGCGTCAGGCAACCCGGAGCCATGTCTGCTGGGTTCCGCCTCCTCCTTTCGGGTGAGCTGCGGGGGCCTTTGCGGCCGGCGCCTTCTTGATTAGGAGCCAGGAGGCTGCTGGCCTCAGGAGGGCTCCTGGCCAGGAGGAGGACCCGGTGGAGTGAGTGGGCCTTCTCAGGAACCGTGTGACAATGATGCTCATTGTGTCCCGTAGAAGCAGGCTGGAATGGCCTGAGCAAAAGATTGGTGAAAGGAGGATGTGAAAGATAAACTAGCTGGCTGGTATTCACAGAATCATCAGGGCTGAGTGGTCGCCTGGGCCTGGGGCCTGGGTCTAATCATGGCTGCAAGCGAGGTGCACTCTCTGGTGGCAGAGCCAGAGGTTGGGAGTTCAATCCCTTCAATCCCCGGTGCCTCCTTGACAGGGGTTGGACTGGATGATCCCGAGGGTCCCTTCCAGCCCTGCAGTTGTAATGTGATTATACATAACAGAGGGGATGAGTCGCCTGGGGCTTTCGAGTGTCCTTTCTGTTTGCTGGTTAGGATCCAAGAGGATGCAAAGGTAAGACAAGTGGGCTTGCCCGTCGCGGCCCCTCGGCAAGTGAGACGCAGCCTGCTTGGGCACCTGATAAGCCACCTGGGCTGCTCACGCCTCCTTTCCCACATCTTCTTCTGCCGGTTGGGATGGCAAAATCAGGGAGGTTGCCAAACCACCACCTGGCTGGCGGCAGGAGACCCCAGGCCGCCAGGGGCTCCGTTTGGTTCTGTTTTTGAGAGCATTCCTGTCACAGGGAGGTGGCTGACCACACACCTAGAGATGGACGTGGGGGAGGAGGTTGGCCCAGGTGACGAGGCACCCAAGGCAGGCGAAGTTTGTTTCCCTGCTGCATGCTGTGCGTTTGGTCAGCTGGCAGACCTGGCAGGCTTGATTTACAAGCCCTGGGATGTTTTTTCTGCCTGCCTGGGAGCTGCCGAGACCAGCACGGCCCGTGTGACGAATGCTATCCGCTGCCCTCCCTTTCCCCAGCCCTCACTTGTATTTTCCTCTCCGGTTTCCATAACGACACGCAGCCTCGTAAAA